CCATCAAATTACACTGTATAAAAATTGCAAAAATTTAATAAAAATTTTAAAATGAAATAAATGTCCAATATTTACATGTAGGGTAGTTACTCTTAATATTTTTGAATATAGATTTATAAGGATGAATGCACTGTTCTAATAAAGTGTTTTTAAGGTAGTTGCCTTTGTCTGAATCAAATCCATGCCTCATTCACTGTAGTGCATATAAATCTTAAAATTTTATAGTGCATTTCCAGCACTTAAAAATCATGGTGGCCAGCATTAGATCTGGGGTATTTGTGTTATGAAAAAGAGGGAAGACTTGGTTATGTTGACCATTCATTGCCCATAACAATCACAAGGTGCTTAGTATGCAGTTATAGAAGGATTGTCCCTTTCAAAAGGGCACAAGCCCTCCTAGATTCTGTCACTCAACTTCAGGCTTATAACATATGTATTTTTATATGACAGAGACATGTGATTTCATAAACCCTATGCATTTTACCCTATGCATTTCCTCTTCAGACCCATCTTTAAGTTGAAAACAAACTACAGGTACTGACAAGACGGATTCAATTATGACTTTGCTCCTAACCATTTCTCTTGCCTGAGACTTGGATCTGTGTTCCAGAGAGGTAGACTTATTTCAAGTTTCTTGCTCACATTTTCAAATAATTCTCCATACTGTAATTCATGACTTAGATTAGTCAGGTTTTACAACCAAATGAAATGGGTGTACACGACAGCACTCAGACATGTGTTCATGTTGCCCCAGTGCTTCCAGAAGAACAAGAGAAATAGATACTTCTCAAGTCTCCTATTGGGTATGGGTTTCACCTTGAGACTGACCTTGGAACGGGGTGGGGCTCGGATGTACCACTTGCAATCCACAGCCTCACTGGCAGAAGCTTTGCCTTCCTTCAGAATCTGTACGGACTCCACAATTCCTTCAGGACCGCCCATCTCAAACTCACACACTAAGATGCCAAACACACACAGAGATGGAACTTGAATAATAAACCCAAAGTATACTTCATAGCAGAAAACAAAGGCCTTTGAACAGTGTTAAATTTATATTTTACCCACCTGGTAATGGTTTCAAAACTCCAAGGTCCTTAAAGTCAGGATCTTAAAAATTGAGAAAAAAACAATTAGTTTTATGCCGAATGTCTTCCTTACAGTTATATTGAGTAACATAGCATCAAATCATCCAGAAAGTAACCTGAATATACAGGAGAAATAAAGTGGTGAAATTAAAAACAAATGATAATATTGTCAAAAATTTCAGTTTCTAATTATAGTAACAAAATATCAGTATATTGCTATTTTATTTTCCTCATTTTAAATGAAGCTAATGCTTAAACCCTTTTAATACTATCCCTGCATCTTATAATTCAACTCATTAGGGAATATTCATCTCTACATCTACAAAAAGGTGACATATTTTTGTACAATGCATCCATAGATAATTCATGGTTTGAGTCACTCCCAAGTATTACAGATATAATTAGTTTCCTGGTTGAAAACATGATTCAAGTTGTTGAAACATAGCTCTTGCCTGGGGTTTTAGAAGCAGAAATTTCAAGTATGGATTTGAGTACTTTTCCCTCTAGTTGAAGGAGCTGTCCTGTTATCTCTCCTTCACACCATGTTGGCTTTTATAGTATTCTTCCATTTTCTACTTTTAAAAATCTTGTTTATTATTTTATTGATATTTTTATGTGTATGAGTATGTTGCCTGCCTGTGTGTAAGTACACCTGTGTCCTTCAATACCCGTGGAGGTCAGGAAAGGGTGTTGGATTCTCCTGGACCTAAAGTTTCAGATGGTTGTTAGCTGCGATGTGGGTGCTGGGAGTCCATCACAGGTCCTGTGCAAGAGCAGCTGGTGCTTTTAACCACTGAGCCATCTCTTGAGCCCCCATTATCTACTTTTTAAATTTAGCATCTACTTTCTCCTATATTGTTCTCTGTGGACCCATGCTCAAGAATCAACCCCTTTTGGCTCATGTGTATGTTTCAGGGTAACCTTGGTTCATTATGAACCATATAAGTTTCTTTGATGAAGGTCAAAACTGGTGACTTGGTAACCATTTCCTGTATATGGTTGTAAAGTAGGCATGCAGCCCATAAAGTATAAAGAAAAGCCTGATTGAGGGTTCTGAGAAGGTTTTCCTCATGAAGACACAAGGCATTTGTAGCTTGTCATGTTATTTGGTCTCCTTTGCAATCATGCAAAAATGGCCATTTCTTGTTGAGATGCAGTAAATTCAGATTGTGGTAATTCTGATTATTAAAGCAGAATGGAACATGGAAAAATCACAGGGCCTGCAAGACACCAGCAAGGTACTGCTGAGGAGGCCTTTACTGTTTTGAAATAATACGTATCCTTAGAGCCCTGTCCTGTAATGCTGAATTTTCTCTTACTTATGGGTGGATAAAACCATCAGTGGCTCTGATAGATCGCTGGAGATTGTGTGCAATTTAAAGATGAGTGTGGAATTTAGTGTTCTATTTCTGCAGTAGCATGCTCTTTGGATTAGAAATCTTATAGAGCTAGAAGAATTTTGTTAGACACAGTTCCAAAGTGAACTAGAACTGTAATATGAAAAGTTATTCTTTACTCTGGAGAGAATTAGTCTACTAGATATTAAAACTATTCACATGAGCTTATAAGAAATGTGTGCCAAAGGGTTCCTCAACCTATGTCCACATGTGTAGCGGCACTAAACGTGATGTTCAGACAGCCAGAATTTTTTTTGTTGTTGTTGCTGTTTCTTTTGTTGTTGTTATTGTTGTTTGTTTCTTAGGTTTTGCTCATTCAAATAGTAATGTGAACTGCTCTGTTGGTAGTGAGAGGTGTAGTTTAATTTACCAAAGTACATCTCAATTATATTGGCTGTTTTCTTTGAGCATATTGCAATCTATGTATTTATTTTGAATCAAGAAAAAGCTAATAACCAAGCAAAAAATTATTTTTGTAACTATTTTGAAAATGGTTATTCTAATTTTGTAGGAAAAAGAAATTATTTATACATAATTTCCTTGAAAAACACAGAAATGAAGGCCAATAGATCATTTGCATTAAACTATTTCCCAGTAGGGATCTTTTTCCTTCATCTAAATCAATGGACATTTGGTTTTTCTTTCAATAAATATGTTTCACTCATGTTACATAAGAAAAGAACTATGCTTTACAAATATTTACTCATATTTATTATCACTATTAAGCGGTTCATTTGTATTGTGGTATTGTGAAGGGTCTTCAAGTTTTTCTTAAAATCAAGTTTGGGAGTAGGATATTGGGGTGCACTCTTATAATTCCAGCAGTAGGAGGCAGAGGCAGGAGGATCACTCTAAGTTCAAGGTCAGCTTGAGTTCCAGGCCAGGCTAATCAGGGCTACACAGTGAGACCTTATCTCAACAAAACAAAACAAAACAAAACAAAACAAAACAAACAAACAAAAAACTAAATTAATCAAAATAAACCAAGCTTGTATAGAATGTTGACTGCAGCTCAGTGGAAGAACACATGCTTGTCAAAGATTGCCCACCTCAAGTATCTGGAATTCTTTCATCCAATATGTTCTTTTTGCTATTTGTCTTGTTCTTTATTTCATTTATTATGAATACAGATTATCCCCCTTTAATTAGAATGTTTCAGCTGCACATACTCTCCTTGTAATTTTGGGGGAGATGAAGCTGGTATTGTTTTCTAGTTTGAAGGGTAGCATTTTCCACTTTTATAGCTCATGCTAGACAAAGTTGACATAAATGCCTGTCCTGGGAAATGAAATTTATTTTTGTCTTTGTTTTAAGAGTAATAGGGCTGATTACTTTAAAATATCTTTAGCTAAAAGAACATAATTCTATTTGTAATACTATAACTATAGATTGCTCATTTGACCTGCAACAAAAATACAAAAATATTTTTAAAATAGTCTAAACAGGATTTAAGGTATTGATTGTTAATATGATTGACTGTTCAAGGTTATTTGGGGAAATGACAAAAATTATTATGCAGATGGAAAGTAAAGTTGAACATTATGAGCCCTCTTCTCTTAACGTCTCTCAAAATCTATCCTCCACGAAACAACCTGAAGGTTTTTTGTTTTTTTTTTCAGTAAGAGTCAATTTGTGGGACTCATCTGACATTAAATTGTTCTTAGAGTAAGTTCACCACTACTCATCTGTCCTTCACCTGACTCCAGAACACGTAGCTAGGCCAAATCTTCCTCCTTCACATTCCTGTTGACCCAAATAGTATGATCTCAGAAAATCCTTCCCTGTCTAAGGTAGCAGTGTCTCATGTCTGCCTTGTAGCTTTCACTAAGATTTATAGCCATTTTGTTCTTCACTTGTTTTTAACTAACCATCTACTCCAACAAACCCATGACAAATGCTACTCTGTGAGATAACTTACATCTATTCAGGACACACAGCATGGCAGATGCTCAATAAATGTTACTAAAGCAAATATAAGTCAGAAAAACATAGGACCTTCTACCAACTTCATTTGCCTGCACAAAAGTATTTGGAATGTCTTGTACTTACACTTTCTCATGCACAGGATTTCATAGTAAATATATGACAGTAGATATTTTATCAGTGAGTACCTCAAGCTAACATTTGCTTGTTGGGCACACAGCTAGAAATTGTTCCCCCAAACTCTCAGGAATGTAAATGGACATATAACCCTCCTGGCCCAAAATATTATGATGAAAGTTTGACATTTGTGGGGTGGGCTTATAAAAACTTTTTGAAGAAAATTCTACATACCCTTTTCTTATCATGGTCCGTCTGAAAATATTACCAACTGAACATGCCAGTCTCCATCAGCACACTTTCAAGGTGAGCACGTTCAGGACGCACTTCCTTATCTTTGAATTACAGTAGACTTTATGTGAGGCAGTAGTAACTTCAGTGACGTCAAATATCAGAAGCTTTAGAATTTTAAAATTGTTATTGCAATAGTCTCTCACCTACTGAGGAAGCGTACTTCTCATGGGATCTAAACATCAAGGTATTGCCGCTGAAACAGGAAAATGTTTGCTGTTTGGCTCTCTCATTTTCTCAAGAATGCATGATATGGGGCTCGTAAGACGGCTCTCCAGATAAAGGGGTATGCATCTCAGCCTGACCACCTGAGTTCAACCTCACGGAGGAAGGAGAAAACCAACATGCACACATGGTCTTCTGACCTCCACACATACACCATGGTACATGTAAGAGCATGTGCATCTTTCCTCCCAATGAATAAATGAATGGAATAAGAAAGAATACATACGTTCTAAACCTCTAATTACATGATGAAAAAAATGTTATTATAGATAATGAATGCTTTGCTGATGTTTCCAAGAATATCCTAAGGTAGAGAACTTTTGGTTTTAAATATACACATTTTTAGAGATTAGATCACTTTGTTCTTAGAGGTTTTAGAAGACACCTACTGGCTGCTTTCTGTTCTCTTCAGTACAGGACCTGTGATGTCACATGGTACAGTGCATGAATGCTGAAGTGTAAAACCTTCGCTTCCATTTACATGAGGTTCGACAAGTGGTAAGATTTCTGCCTATATTTTTAATCTTTCTTTCCATCTATATATTTACAAATCTATGTAATTTGAAAACTTTTTAAAATATTTAAATTTTATCTGAAAGTACAATTATAACACTTCATTGCATTTGCTCTCAAATAAAAGAAAATGTATTTTTTACTTTATTTTCTCTGTAGTGAAAAACATATTTTTCTTACAAAAAGGGAAACAAAAGATTCTCTTTCCACCCTTCAGCTAAACAGTCCATTCAAAGGCACCAAAAGACAAAGAAACTGTCATTTTTTAACAAGTTTCTTATTTATGGAAAAGAAGAATCAGTACTGAGAAAAATAAGGAAAGCAATATATAAAAATGAAGTTATGCCAAAGTTTATCTCTATAACTGAATTTATAGTATTTTAGAAATATATTTTTAAGTTTTTTATTTTATCACAACATTAGTTTGAGTTGGATAATTTATACTTCAAATGCCCTTTAATTTAGCCCTTCAAATGCCAAGTATCACTGTGCAAACTACAAATTGGGAAGCCACTTACAAGGTAAGCTATTGTACGCCCTGAGAAGCACATAAAGA